TTTCTTTATGCATCGACAGTTACATCTCATATTTATATCACATATACTAGGTGATACCAGTAGTGTCCTGCAGGAACGGTTTTTTCCTGAATTTTTCCCGTTCCCATTCCCACGGAAATGGGAACGGTGTTAAGAGTTGACGTTCCCGAAAATCATTCTATTTTATTTTAATATACATGGAAATATTTCTATGTAAAAACGGTTTATTTTCAATAACTAACGGGTAGCCCATAAAGAATGACTCTTTCGACATTTTTGCAATAGCGTCACCATTTTTCATCTGTTTGACCTAACTTTTTAAAAAAGATTCGTCTTTCAATTCTCTACAAAACTGTTCAATTCGTTTTCTCACAAGACATTTCAGTGCGCTTTTACTTTTAGATAATGAAAAGTAAAGAGGTCAGAAACATCGTACTTTCAAAATATCAAAAAGCTAACGATACAACAAAAAATTTTCGGAATTTTAACGGCTCAAATAGCTTTAAAACAGTAAAACGATGGTGTTGTATGATAAATCAGGCTGGTTCTCGTCATATTCTTCAAGTTGCACGACCGAAAAGTTTTTCCAAAAGTCATGGTTTAATTAGGAATGTGTTTAAAAGGTGTTATACCACTAGTTATTTTCGATGAAAACACGATCGATCATGTTTCTTCTATTAAAGAAGTGCTTCTAACGACATTGAAATATAGCAATAAAGTATGTGGACACGATTAGATATATCAATAAGAAGGTGCGAAGGCACATATTCATAAATTAACACAACAATGGTGCAATGACAATATTTTCGTTTGGCAAAAAATGGCTCTATTTAATCACGTTAATAAAATTAGATAGCTTTGTAGAAGATTGAAAGACGAATCTTTTAAAAAATTTAGGTCAAACAGATGAAAAGTGGTGACGCTATTGCAAAAATACAGAAAGGATCATTCTTTATGGGCCACCCGTTAATTGTATTGTTAGTTTATTTAATAACACGTCGCGTTGCGCAAAACAGGGTGGGTGTGGGATGTGGGTGTTGGTGTTAATCTTCTTATTGTTCATACCCATATAAACACACATCCACTCCCACACCCCCCCCCCCCCCCCCCCCCCCCCCCCCCTTCATATCCACACCCACATCCACACTCAATATCTAGTGAACTCTATAAATTTCAGTAATTACAAAGAAAAGAAGCACTATTGTAGTTTAGTGCTCTCTACAAATTGCAGGTAGTTTAATTGAAATAATGAAACTCAATCTTTAGAGAACTCTTTAAATTTCAACAAGTTTAAAAATATAACTGAAATTTTAATTTGTCTTAAAACTGTTATCAGTAAGTTTTTTTGAAATTTGAAAACCGAAAATTTCGGACCTAAGATCATTTGAAATTGGAATAATTTAAATTTAAAAAACAACTAAAATTGAATATAACAGATTTTTAATTTCGATTTTATGTTCGCAAATGAGAGGACACGGCAATTAAGACATATATGTTCTTTGCAACAAATTAATACGCCTAGAGATTGATCATATGTTCCATCTCTGACTGATATCACCGTATATATGCGGTATAAATATGAGATGTAACTGTCGATATATAAAGAGAAAAAATCGAAAAAAAAATATCTGTCCTGTTACTTTTGTGCCGCCCTGTAAACACTTAGCTTCAATTTTTTTTTGAAAAAAATGCATCCTTTGAGGGGTATTCTTAGATACTTCTGATTGCTTTTGTATCACCAAAACTTTCAATGTTCTATGTTGGAAAAAACCAAGTATAAACGGAAGAAAAAAAACAAAATGTCGTCATTTGCATCGTGGCGGCTGGTGTAAGTTACATTAATAGTTCATGTTTGAAGCGTTCTAATTTGCATTGCTTAAACTAAAAATATTGATATATGTTTCATATTGGTGTAACGTAAGTTCATAATAATAGCAATTGGCTCGTATTGATGATTCATCAACATCGTCTTATGTAATGAGTAATTACGAAATATCGATGTAAGAAAAAAATAGCTATATAAAATACCCATGTATTAATAAATAAGAAAAGTTTTGCTTAAAAGAACTCACCATTAGTATTGAACTGCTTGATGTCAATGCGTGCATCATAAATTTATTGTATGAACATATATTGTTGAAAAGTGGTGAACTCTGATCAACAAAATGTCTTCTGTTATAGTTATGGAAAATGAAGGAATTATCAATCTTCATCACTCTAGAGAACATATGTGCAAAATCAATTTTGAGCGTGAAGTAGAGCAAGAAGCTAAGATGGGTGGGTGTGGGCTGTGGATCTTCTTGCAGCCCTTTTTCTCACATATCAATACCCACGCCAAACGATGAAAATACTTTTCTTAGTTCCACTTTTAGGCCAGAATCAATTCCGATATAGCTTTGTGAGAATCTGTGGATTTACAACTCTTAGTTTTGAAAACAAATTCTGGTTCATATACTGCATACATATCAGAGATACATGTACTCGCTTTTGTTGAGTTTAAATTTGCTAGTAGCATCTTTTTCTTGCATTGGTTTACCTTATTCGGTTTAGTTGAAGCTTCTATTAAAAAGAACTTTTTGTTCTCTTCGTATAAGTTTCTCGACTATTTTTCATTCGACCATTTTTCGATTACCCACTCTTAATCCACTAAAGAACAAACTGTCGTTGCTGGCAAAAATGACACTACGGTAGAATAATCATAGAAAGATAAAATAAAATTACCCAACGCTATTGAAATGAATAAATTGTAATAAAACAAAACTACCTTGCAGTAGCTTTAATAAGTATTTCTTACAATGAGAGTCGACGTATAGGTGTGAGTGAGGAGAAAATTGAAACACAACATCAAACCACACCACTGTCAGATATTGTCCTATTTATTCTTTTTTCCTCTTACTCTTAGGACTCTTGCACGTCCTCGAAATATGGATCACGAAACCTAATTGATATGTGTGGAGTTGCGCACGTGGCGAAAACTACTTGTGTTAGCCGAGTGGTCAAGCCAGCGCTGATTATTTCGAAAAAATCCCAGCTCCTGCGAGGAACCCATGTAAAACTAAATTTATTTCGTTCTACTTTTATGCCTTGAAAGTTATTATGACTTACATACGTCCAATCCTGTCGAAGTGTGAGTGTAGCAGATTTGAGACCGATCATGCCACTGGTTTTCAGTGTGTGATTCATAACCCATGCCTTGGCCTTCCGTCGCCTTAGGATTTATCAGGGTTGGAACCGGTGCGATCGGATTGAATCGAACTCGTTGAGCAAGACAATCGGCCGGTAGAGACCGGCATTTGACCGGTAGCAAGTTTTGAAAATTCTTCTTTTTTAACACCTGTTTTTGACTAAAAACCTAAGGTGTCACATTCTTTTATTGTCAGAGTGCGTAAAAGAGTGCCCAAAACATATGTTCTTTTAATCATTTCTTCTGATACTCTTTAACAAGAGGTTGCCGGTGTTGTTGAACTGAAGAGTTACATCCACACCCGCATCGCACACTCCCAGCCACATCCACAAACTTAGACCTAGTCGTTCACCCTCACACCCTCACCCTCACACCCACACCGTCAGTTTTCATATAGTTCGTTCCTCTATATACGGTTGTCGTTTGGAAAATAATAATAAGGGTTCCAGTATTGGTCTTTTACATCAATCTGCTGTTAAAAGACTATTTCTTGACTTTAACTGAACTCTTACTTACATGTTCCATATCAAAATGACTACAAGGACGAAAATGTGCTGACAGATATAGCAGGTGTGTGAAAATAAAAGTACAACAGAAAAAAATTTAATTTTTTTGTGGGCCTATGACGTCGCTGCAACATAAGTATATATTAGATATTCAAATTTTTCAAACACCCATAATCGGTTTCCAGAGTTTTTCTAATCTAGTCTCTAACTAGAACGTTTTCTATGATCATATTTCTCCTTTCTTTTCCAAACTTGCTCAACACTAAGGAAGTTTTTGAAAACATCATCCAAGTTTCAGTTGCTGTTACCGATCAAAACATCGGTTTGCACCTCTAGCGACAACTACTTTCTTATGTTAAATCTACTTCCGACAGAAAATTTTTGCGACATTAGATACATTTCATTGAAACTTTGGAAACTAAAAAATTCTTGTATACATTTTGGAAATACATGCTTAATGTGACCAGTCTGTCTGAAAGGTCACTCTTTCGAGAATGTTTATAGTTTGATAAGCCTCATTCGACGCTTACAAATGAGTCAATCTTCCTAGAAGCCGTAGTGAATAAATTTTCCTTTCGTTTGTAGATCGTCTATAATTGAAAAGAGTTGATTCTGTTTTCTTCGAACTGTTCCCGTACCTAAAAGGAATGTCAGACAACAGCAGCAGAAATCAATTATTCGGTGGAATTAAAGCTCGAAATTCGGACAAAGTTAACGAGATATTTAATTGTGTATTCTGTAAATTTATATTACTATATCCATGGCAGCTATTATGTTGTGGAAGACTTTTGTGTAAATGGTGCTTGAAAAAAGGATTGTCCAATAGGTAACCATTAAGTTTTGAGTTTGACTCTAATATTGTATATTTATATTTAGAGAACCGTTTGTTTGTCCATATTGTGGTGCAAAATCAGACAAAAAAGAAGTAAAGTAGTTTATTTATTGTCTACCCCATTCAATTTCATTAATAGGCATTGGCGGATCGAGGTGTTGAACGAGAGTTGAAGATGATCATCATTGTATGCTATTCATGCACGTGGAATGGAGCGTACAATGAGTATTTAGTATTTAAACTGAAACATAAATATAAAAACCATATTAAGATGATTATGTTCTAGGATCATTTACAGGAACTACATGCAGATTTAGAATGTGCCGATTGCCATGAACATTTTTTTGCAATAAACTCATTTGAAGAACATCGACAAGAACTATGTATTCATCGATCTATACCGTGCGGATTACCGGATTGTATGAATTCGGTAATAATCTGTTTTCTTTCCTTTCGATCACGGTAAATAATTTTTTTAGTACAGATAAAATGGTACGAAATGAAAGCACATTATCTCACCGATCAACATCAACATATATTACTTATTATTATTTTGAAATATATGAGTCCAAGAAGTCAGCGATCACAAATTCAAAATCATTGTGAATTCATGAAACAAGAATATCATGATCTTCGGAATAGTATTGACGTTACTTTCTCAGTCTATGAAATTTTATTAAATAATATGGCACATTTACAAGTGGAAAAGCAAGAAATAAAAACAAATTTTGAGCGAAATTTTTCAAAAATAGATGAATTGAAAAAATGTAACAATGAAAACGAAGAAGCTGTTAAGAAATTATCTGAAACTCAAAATAATATGCAAATACAAGTAGAAGATATTAAAAGAATGAGAGAAGAAAGTCGAATTTTGACATTGGACGATGATTCCACGACAACTCTTCCTTTCAACTATTCCAATACGCCGTCATTTTCAATTCAATCATTAAAATTCAAGACTTCACAATATGGCTATACATTAGGATTTCGTGCCTGTTCAACAATGGAATCACAACAAAAATATCTATCGCTTTTTCTTACTCTATATAATGGAGACTATAGTAATCTTCTTCCCTATCCGTTTTTGTATACTATTTACATTGCTTTATGGGATCAATCAAATCAACAAAAACATATTGTATATGTCTTAAAACCAAATCCAAACTCAACTGCATTTATTCGGCCTACGACTGAAAAGAACGACGAATTTGGTATAATGAAATTTTGTCCACTTGAATATCTTACAGATTCAAAAAGTATTTATGTAAAAGATCAAGTATTTTTTATTCGAGTGTTCGTTGATTTTTTAAATACTGGACAAAATCCATTTCAATCAAAAGACAATATCGAGGACAATGTTGAACTGATGTCTGAAACAACTACGATGATGACAGATTAACTTCAACTTGATTAATATTTATCGTTTTATATATTTCATTTCGATTATTGCATTATAAACTAGAATATTTATAATAATTTTGAACACCATTACTAAACTGCAATCTACAGTACTGATATTTTTGACTTTGCGTATCTGATAAAGAAGTAATGTTCAACGTGAAGGTTGAATTTAATTGAGATACTATTCAATTTTCAATCATCTATGCTTAATATCTCAACGCTGTAGTCATCTTCTTAAAAGCTATAAAAATATTACAAACATTTATATCACATTCTACCTTCACTCGAACTTTACTTCAGTCCTAACTTCAGTCTGAATCGATGTATGAATTTCTGCAGTATCCTAACTATGAAAGTCTTTGAAAATGGAAATTCAACTTTCCAACTTTGACATGATTCTATAATATTTACTAAAATAAAAAAAATCGTATACATTCTGATGTTATGACTTGTTACAATATAAGAACACCATACTGTGTAAATGCAGATGTATCCTAAAATTTTTTAGACTCTTTTTTTCAATTATATTGTTCAAGTCTCTATTTTATTCATGAATAATAAAATGTGAAATCAATCAAAAATACAATTTGCAACTTATTAGTACATCAATGGATAGTAGGCTTTTGAAAATACATAGTTACTTTCAAACTTTTAGATAGTTTACCTTAAATATGACTACCATCAAGTTTCTTCTTTAAAGTCATTCGTTGTTGTCTACAAAACAAGTTTGCTATATTTCAATATTATTTTTTGTGTATTAAGTTATCATAGTGAGAAATATTAGGAGTATCTCCCCACCATTTCTGGAGTGTCTAGAAAACGGTTCTTCGGAAAAGTTTACTAATGCTGTCTTTTGTGAAATAATAGACTCACAATAAAAAATGCCTGATTTTTTTACTGGGACTAATATTGTGGAAGCTGCTAAATAGTCACTAGTATATCTGAAATAAACGTTTCAGCTCAATTGCTCTTACCATGTCGATGCAACAAAGACGAAGCAGTGCTTGTTTTTAATATAGAATTGGATTTTGAGAAAAATGCAAAAAAAATGAATTATAATTTACTCTTGCATAAACATCTTTTTTTTAATTTCTGCTTACGCTTCTAGAGGTTTTCGACTACTGTGTATTTGATAAACTAGTTTTCATTACCTATTTTCACTTCTATTTCATGTTTATGTGGAACAGAGTGCAAAGAATAGATGAAGAAGGATGGAAAACTATTGTTAGATGCTGAATGGCTAACAAACAAATGAAAGAACTTTTTCTAGACTTATCTTGACTGTAAACAAGACGTAGTATTTAATATCTTTATTGATCGCGGAATTTTATTTATCAATATATGAAAAAAAGACAACAATCATGACTCATAACTAGCAATTTATTTGAAAGTAATTTTGGCCAATCATTTGTCAGATTCATAGTCATCACCACTGTATGTCTTTTATTAATCACAGACAGTATTTTTAATGAATGAGTGTACCCAGCAAAACAACGGGTACGGTACCCTAATAAAAAAAAATTTACATACTGTTTTACACGCTGGTGAAAAAAGTAGCGTGTACGCTGTACACACTGAATTTTTATTTTACACTTTGATTTTTCTATTATCTCCGTGCTTCTGCTGTATGTACAAAAATATTATTTATATATTGAACGCCATGAAAATTTTATACGTAGACTCGATTCAATTTGAACTAAGGCAATAATTAACACGTGGCAATGTTTTGTATTGAAACGTGCCGTTGTTCATTGACAACATTATCAGTTAAGAAAATTAATAGATAAAAAATCGAATAAAAAATTTAAAATAAAAATTACAAGCGCGCAATTATACGCTTGTAATTTTTATTTCAAATCTTTTATTCGATTTTTTATCCATTAATTTTCTTAACTGATAATGTTGTGAATGAACAGTGGACCGTCTCAGTATAAATCAGAGATGTCCATCGCGGTTGAAAACTGACCGTTGCCGCGCCGCGACGATAAAAGAAAAAAGGTAACGCACCGCTACCGCACCGCGGTGATAAAAACAGAAAACCTACCGCGCCGCTGCCGCGACGCCACCAAAAATAACCATGCCGCGATGATTGTTAGGATAATGTTGTGAATTTTACGATCTGTGACTGTTCAGGACTAGAGCTGTTGCTACCAATCGATAAGATTCGTTGAATCTCATAGTTTTGCACTTGCAAACATTGAAATTCTGTCCGAATCATGTATTTTTGCATTGTTGTCCAAAAATCCTATCGCTACCGCACCGCTGCCGCGATAGTTAGTTAAAAAAACGACCGCTGCCGCGCCGCACCGCGATGGTTATTTGAAAAAAACAACCGCTACCGCGCCGCCACCGTCACAGCGGCAGCGGTCGCGCCGCGATGGACATCTCTGGTATAAATGACCAAAATGTCTCAAATTGAAGTAAACTTCATTTAACTTTCATTTTTAAGTGTTGTATATAAAAATTTATTGTATGCTTGAAAATTCGTATTGGAGCCCTATCTATTTATGTTTCATATAGTGTTGCCTTTTTTTGTTTTATTTTTAAAATATTCATGTATCTACAAGTGTGGATAAATAGAGTTTCATAAAAATATCAGTTGATATTTTTCATTTAGTCAAAGTTCCTTTTGTGATTTGAAAACGTTTTATTTTTGTTTTTTTTTTCAAATCATCTTGTCTTCATTAAAATGAAAAATGAAATAAAAGTTTTTTAAATAAAAAATGTCTTTTATGAACAGAAAAAAGTTCCGTGTTTCTTATACATTTTGTACACTTTGCTACAAAAAACCAAGTGTACAGATACATGGTGTTCTAAAAAACACAGTGTACGCATACATTCTATTTCAGATTCTCATTAAAAACACTGATCACAGAATAAAGAAAATAAACGAAACAGTCAATGAAACGATTCAAAAACTAAGAATAAACCATTCCGAAAATAGTGACTCCTGAGCTACCAATTAACAACAGGCTTGAATATAATGAATAAGACTTTCTACAACAAAAAAGTAAGTTCAAGGTCAAAGGTTGCCGCACACACCTCGGCATAAAAACGTAAAAGTCGAATCTTTTGAAATGCAAGTAATCAAAAATCACTCTTTTCAAAGTCGAAACGCTGTCAAAAGAAGTTTTTTTTTTTTTACAAATCGATAGAGAACACTTGAAAGTATTTATATCAATCAAAAAGAAAAATTGAAACAAATTTAATTTTCACGTTCTAAAAGGGAAGGAAGTACCTTAATGCGAAAGTCAATGTCGAATAAAATATGTTTAATTGACAATAACGCCTAGACTGAATATTGAATAACAAACTTGTAAAAGAAACGGTCAAATTCTACTTAAACAGGAACTTCAACACCTTATAAAAACATCTTCTGTAGAGGTAATAGGAGAAGCTGAACCCTCTTGTAACATTTTCGTGGTTGCATCATCACTAAGTATAAAAATAGTGTAATTGTGGATCTTATTTTTACTCATATCGACAAAAAAATACGATATTCAACTCGCTTATAATCGATAAGTAAGAGATTTCACTGAATTAGAATGGTCAACGAATAAATTGTGTCAGGAACATTTGCAAGAGCTCAACAAACAACAAAACTATGTTAGAGAAGCTACTATTTTCATTCAATAAAATGAAACATGTGAATATTCATTTTCTAGCAATGGTGCTTTCATTTAATGATCCAACTTTTATGGAACATTGACTTATTGAATATTCGACTATAATATAATACATAAGTACAGAATAGAGTTATTAGTTTATGTGTTTACTGATCATAATGAAAGTTTGATAATGCTTTACTCTTTTTCTCGAAACAAGTTAATAAATAATGTAAATGTTAATATTCTCATCGAAGTAATACATACACTTAATCTGTAATGTAGCTATTCGATATATGACCTTGCACTCTATTTTCGAAAAAAAAGATTTGAGCAAAAAGCTCACACCTACGTACGCTAAGTATCTGTCAATGAAGATAATATCTATTGTAAATAACAATCGAATCAGTATTGAATGTCTTAAAATGATTTAAATCATTAAAACAAATGGATAATTTTTTGCTTGATATGAATTTCAGAAATTCTGTAACTATTTCAATTTTTACATTGAAACACTCGATTGGATATGGGTGTATATATCCCATGCTCTAATGGACCACAACCACCCGCACTCACACCTCATTCACTCATAAAACCATATGTTCAATAGGATAGATTTGGTACTACTTTTCACTGCTCCAAACGTGACGAAGCATCCACAAAATACTTCTTCACCCACAGTCTCTATTGCACTAAATGTTTTATAGGAAACCTTTGGTTTTCTAAATAACACTTATTTGTCTCAACATAGTTACACTTTTATTGAAGACTAGCTTCACATTTGAATGATGTTTGATGTATTCGTCTTCCTATAAAGAGTTTTTCTACGTAGATACAGGGTTTCTCACAGTGATTTTTCTCAGCTCAAATAGTCGAAGCAATGTAAGCGTGTTCCAAAAAGATAAAGATGTCATAAAAAGAAAGAGTCTTATAAAGCATGATGTGAATGCAGATTGTTTGATAAAGAAATAAATGGTGAGAGAATAAGATTTGGAATAGTAAAATTGTTAAATAATGATTCATTTGAATTTATTTCTTCAAATTGATTAGATTTAATTGATGATATTGAACGAAATGCTAATTCATCATTTGTATTAATTGCACTTTTCGGTGTTAAAAAAAAATGCTAAAGACAATTTAGTTAATAAATTTCTATTCGTAAACAATATTCTTTACTCATTTTTCATAGTAAAAGATATTGTTTTATTGATATAGTGCACTAACTAAATTTTTGTCCTCTAAGTTGTCTATCTGGCCAGCTCAAAATGTTTCTCAGCCTTTTTTCTTTTTCTGAAAAGTATACCTATCAACTATTGTGTAAAACGCCTACAATCCTATCAAGTAGATGCAAAATATACACATTCTTCAAAGAAAATGCGACCGATTTATAGAATATTACAAAAAATGATATAAAAAGAAATACTTCAGCTCTTTACATGTTGGTGTATGACTTTTGAAATTAAATAGTTAATTAGATATCATTGTAGCATCGATCTCGATTATGGTCAATCGAATGCAAAAAAAAGAAAACATCATATAATGCTGATTAATTGATTTGAAATCATAAAAACATTTTTTCCGTAATATTCTAGTGTACTTGGCAAACGACAATTACATAGTGTCCTGAAACACCTTTTATAATTAAAGTAAGTAGTTTGAGCATTATCTGAATGAATGTCGAAGGGTGTAGGTGTGGTTAAAGATAGCCCTAGACCCACATTCATACCTACATGTATCTCATCTACACCCGCCATGATACATTTACATTAATATTTTTCTTATGAAAGAAAGTTTGAGCGATTGTCTACTACCATAAAAAAGAATCAGTCTATTTGATATGAACAGAGTAGAAGTATTTAATATTTTTATCATATATTATTTATCACTCACCGTCCGTGTACAGGTAGTCAAAAAAGTATCTGAGCACCTACTATTTGTGACGATTTCAGATATAGTAGACATTGTTTAAGGGCTATTATTATGCTTATACTTTATTAGTACTATCAGAATCGTCACTATACTGTGTTTCTCTCGTTTCCTATATACTATTTCCTAGCATAGGAAGACCTTGAAAAATAGAGAAAACACAATAACAGAAAAATACAGGCTGTGAATAGAAATTCAGATGAGAATCAGAAGTTAGTTTACAATTAAGGATAACACTATGTACGACAGAAAGACAAATTAATAATGTCATTCCGAAGTACATATAGAAGAAGAATGAGATGAAAGTGCATAACAGTATGAATAGATAACAGACAGACAAAGGCATCGCAGTCATGTTAATCCAGAGGGTGGGGTGTGGGTGTGGGTGTAATCTTTTCTCACACCCATAGCAACAAACACTCACACCCACACCCCAAATATAGCCTTTTGAGTTGACGTAAACTCTCAGAGTTAGGTGTTACTTTGAATCTTCATAGTTAATACTGAGATAGAATGGATGAGACAATTGAATATCACTAATGATCACCATTGTCATTCATCGCAGGACATAGTGAGGTCACACATTCACAATTCTGTTTACAAAAAGACTCGCATAAAAAATCGAAAATCGAGGCATGCAACAGGTGTTTGTCTTAAAATTAAAGCATGTCATTTTACAATTTATTAGGAATTCTAAAATAAAAATTTAACTGCGATCACTTTGTCCAAGTATTTTAAATCTGCAATGCCACTTCGAATCAGAATGAATCAATGCACAAAAAATTTGAGTACAGGTCATTCAGGCCACAAGTTTCGGCCTGACCTGGCAGGCTGACAGGCCGGTGCAGGCCAGACTGACAGCTCTGTTATGTAGCAGGTGTTTTTTCATCAAAAACTCCGGCAGTCAACGAGATAATACTAAACGATATGGGAAACATCTTTACTCTTTGCCTTTATAGTTGTTAAGACTAATTAAAGGTGTAGGTTCTGGGTAGGTAAGTCATTAGGTTGATGTCGTTGAAAAGAAGTTCCGCACTGTTACCTGCATCCTCACTCAATCTTATGCAATGTTCAACTTCTAGAGCACGAACGATTATTGCTCAATAAAAAATTGATTCTTCGAAAGATGCCATTAAGTGTAAGGACGACAAGATTCAGTGTCTCTTATATAGGTTATTATCTAATCAAGATTCTTTTATTTCTAAAATTCTCAGCTTTGTAGGCATAACTAATGGTGAAATACGCTGACAAGATTCAAACAGATACATTTTCGTCTTCGTTTTTTCCATTGTACTTTTACAAAGAAAATAATGCAAAAACAGAGTAGAAAAATTCATTTATTTCATTCTTCTCAGTATATTTCAACGCTGGTTATAGCTAGACAAGTGAAACTTTCAGAAATAATAGGTTTTGTTTAAATATATGCTTGATAAAAATTTCAGCTCTCTACATCCGCAAAAAGTATGAAAAATATCAGTACTAATTTACCGTCAGTTATTATAAGACATTCTTTATGTTAATCTTAAGTGTCGATTAGCATTGTAATGACGGAATATTATCGATAAAGTCACATCTTTTGCGTCTAGTGACCAATTAGATATGTTGTTAATTAAGATCTCTGTCCTTTTTTAATGTGTTCATCTTTATTATCTGATTTCACTTTCCAAATGATCTGTATAAGTCATTATGTCATGCGAGTGTGGGTGGGTGTGAATGTCGTAGTATTCTATTCCCTCACACCCACACCCACACCCTCGATTTCTTTGTTGCGAAAACTGATCTTCAAAAACTATACCAAAACAAAATGATTGGTTTAGACACTGCATTATGTAAAAAATTTGATTATGGTATCAAAAATAGATCAGAAAATCGCTCACACCATACTTTGAGAAACCCTATCAAGAACTTTGATCCGTTTCATAAAAAAAACTTTCACTAATTATTATTCGACATGTGACTTATCGTTAGCCATAGTGGTATGTCACATCAGTCGACATAGCATAAAACCAAGATGGCATTTGAAATCAGCTTATTGAAACGCATGTAATATTTTTTCATAAAAACTTGATTTCAGAGAGTGATCAAGTTTTAAACCATAGTTATTTGATAATTTTCGATTGCTACATAGTTTTAATCTGATTGATGTCAAACTTTTACTTCTTTCAAGCCTCGGATTTTACAAAAATAGACATTAGAAAAATAGTCTTTATGATCATGGTTGCCTACTATGCTACCTGAGATCATACTATATCACAAATATGTATTAATATTTTTTTCAGATTTTCTCTTCCGGAGGGAAGAATTCAAAATTTAATGAGCAACAACCCTACGTTGTATTAACCGTTAATATCTATAGTATATAATCAATTAAATTAAATTTTAATTTTTGATTTGTTTTGATCATCAAATTTAATCTATTAATTTTTTTTTTCGACATTCATCATCTGAAGCTCTAACAGAAATATTACACTATACAATATATATATATATGTAGACAAAAAAACAAGATAACAATATTTATTCCAGATCAACAGAATTTGCTTCAGTTTCATCTTCCGTATAGATATTTTCAGCCTAAATTTCAAAATAATTATATTTTAAAAATACAAAAAAAAAAAAAAGATTTTTTTACCATTTGCCAAACTTGCATAATATTATCTTCTGATACTGAACAAATAACCCATGGTTCATTTGGATTCCATGAAAAATCCGAAATCTTTGCTGTATGTCCACCATGAATGAACTAAAAAAATTATACCAAACAAATAATTTTTTTTCCTCTTTCGATTATTCCTATTTGTTTTTCTTACTAATAATTCCGGTGGACCATCTTCAGCATCATCACTAGTTTGTTCTTCACCAATTTTACTTAAAAAATAAGAACCAAAAATAAAAAAAAAAAAATTCATAAAAAAGAAACAGTTTACCTTAAATCCCAAACATGTAAACGTCTATCTGTACCACTTGAAGCAAGAATTGTTTCATTATGATGTGACCATTGTACTTGAAATATTTCATCTTTATGAGATTCAAATGTATGTAATTTTAATTTAAGATTTCGAAGATCCCAAAGTGCAACCGTCTAAATAATTTTTCATTAAAAGTAATTCAAAATATCAAACAAACTTTATCAGCTGAACCAGTTGCAAGAATATATTCTGAAAATGGATTAAATGATAAACAATTGACTTCTGCACCATGTGCATCAACAACATGAGATGGTTTTGTATAATTTGATGAACGAGTATCCCAACTAAAAGTACAAGAAAAAAAACCTATTAACACAATTTCTGTAGAATTAAAATGTGAAACATAATATAGTTTCTGTTGATGATCACAATGGCGTTTGTTTTATTCTATCTATTTTAGGTATGGATGAAGAGAACATTCAGATCCACATATTCGTAGCTGACTCATGAAATATTTCTGTAATCATTTTTCTAAAGGCTAAACTTAAAAATTCTTTATTTTTTCTTAAAAATAATTTAATTTTTATCTCTATACTTCAACACTTCTTTTCCATTATGTATCAAAAAAATAAGATATAATTAATTACATCATTAATTTACAATCATCACCAACAGAACCAAAAAGTGTTTCATGAAATAAATGCCAAGCAACATCTTCAACAACAGCTTGATGTCCAGAAAAAATTGCTAATGGATCAACAAATTTTCCTTCTGTTGGTGGTTTTTCAATATTCCATAAACATATTGTATGATCATCTGATGCTGATAAAATATGTCCACTTGTATTTGGATTCCATGATAGACCATAACCTTCTTTTGTATGTCCACGTAAACGTAATTCTGGACATGAATCAGCACTTAATGCTATCAATTGTTCTTTTGGTAAATTTGATAATTTCGTATAATTAAATATTAATACTTCAGCTGATGGAGATTTTGTTGCAATAAGTGATGAATTTTGTGGCATATAACGAGCACGATTAACTTCACCATCATGATTTATTTTTAATTCAATTTCAATTTTAGCATTAAATAAACCAAAACCACCAAATTCTATTATGAGAATTTTTTTAATATTTTATTAAAATTAAATAAAACAATAATCATACCTCCTCGTTCTGATTCATATTGAGTTGTATCATTTATTGTACCATCTTTTGGAATTTGTACACATGCAATAACTAAATGATTTTGTTCATCCGATGTATGTGTACCAAGGATAAGACGATGAACTGTATAATCTTTACTATCCTCAGGTCTAAAATAAATTTTTTTTATTTTATATATTGTTGATAAAAAAAAAACATTAATTTCAGTCATAAGTAGTACAGTGTATTTATAGCTCATTTTAGTCGACATAATGCATCTTGTTTCAACTTAAAAGTTAGCGGCGTAACCAGAGTTTTGGCGATGGTAGGGCTCAGCAACGCTTAAATATCCGGTGATAGGGCTCAGGTTACTGAGATCTGTGGGATGGTAGGGCTTGTGAAAGTTTTCAGCTGACGATGCTAACACCGGTGGTAGGGCTGAAAGGTCGGGTGGTAGGACTGAGCCCCCTCTGGCTCTACCTTGGTTACGCCACTATTAAAAGTAATTTATCAGTTAAAGAAATCTTCTCGTTAGTAATATCAAAAGATAAAACTCACTTTGTTACATGAGGTAACCATTGAACAGTAAGTGAAGGCCATTCAAGTGCATGTGTCATAATTAAATCATAGAGAAAAGCTGAATTTTTTTTCCATATTTTATAATCATCATTTATTTGACGTTCTTCATTAATAACATCATCAGCTAAAAGAAATAAAATTATTTTCATTATAAACAAAAAATTTTATTAGTATTTTTCTGTTTTGATTTTACTTACTATCAGTCATCATAAATATTTGACAAATTTAAAAGAGAATTAATTTTTATCTAGAAAATAAATAAAAAGAATTTATTAATTTTAAATTTATTCTCTATGTGTTAATCTTGTTTTATATGTAATTAATGGTCTCATTTTTGCTAGAATTCTTATTAGTTTAGCTTCAACAAGATCATCAATAATTGCATCAATTGTTTTATATGCTTGTGGATGTTCTTCATAAAGTAATTGTTTATCATCACATACAACATGTGATTCTAAATTTTCTGTTATTTTTAATCGATCTATATTTGGATATTTTTCACTAAAATATTGTCGAGCTTTTGAACGTGACATAGCACGACCAGCACCATGTGCTAATGAATATCCAGATAATTCTTGATTTTCATTAATTGATTCAACAAGATAGGAATGTGTACCACGACTACCTGGAATAATAATACGACCTTTATCAGATGGTGCTGCACCTTTACGATGAAGATGTACTTGACATTGTTCAGATGATAATTCTTTTAATACAACATTATTATGCCAAATATCAACAAGACATTGTGGTGGATTTGTATCACCAAGACATGTAAGAAAACGTTGAGCTATTAATGCTCGATTACGTTTAGCCCATGTACATGCTTCATCATGTTTTTGCATATAAATTTCATATGCATCAGTACCTTTTTCAAGTCCACGTGTTTCATCATGACTTTTTCCATATTCACGTAAAAATCTTTCGCCTAAACTACGACTACCTGAATGAACAAGTAAATAAAGATATTCTGTTGATAGATCATCATATTTATTATCATAGAGTTCTTCAATACGTTGTAATTCAATAAAATGATTACCAGCACCAATTGTACCTAATTGTTCATTTTCAATATGATCATTTATTATTTTATCAACTGTTGTTGGCCATTCGAGATTTATTTGAAGAAATTCTTTGATTGTTTCATTTGATAAATAATCATCTAAACCTTGTAATTGTTTTGTCCATTTAGTTAATTTTCTTTCATCATCTTCAGATATAAGAGGTAGTGATGTTCGAATAAAACTCATACCACAACCAATATCAGAACCAATTAATTCAGGATAAACAACAGTTGGTTCCGTAGCAACAACACAACCAATAGGTGTAGCTTGACCAACATGTAAATCAGGCATACCTTTACAGTTGTAAAATTTAAAAAATAGATTATTATGCTATGAAAACGAATTGTATAAAAAAAAAAAGATTTCAATCTTCAATAATTGACATACAGTACTATGAAGGATCATTTGATAGTTAACTAATCGACAGTGAGTGTTTGTGTTAAAAAAAATTGCATTTTCTAGAATTCTTCCCTCCTCTTAGCATTCCTGTCAACTATGCTTCTTACTTTATTTTTTTTTCTATGAGAATATTTGGGATAGAAAAAGAGTCAAAACTTTTGTACTACTTATTAGATTCTTATTCTCTATAAAGAAAACTTTCATTCTTAGCTGTACCCCAAATATGTTTCACTTTTGCATATAATCGAGCCACATTTTTCAATTGATCAATAGCTGCTTGTTCAATTAATGTTCTATTTGCAATAATTTGAATAGAAACTGATGATGAATCAATTATTGAATCTGTTGTTTTTGATGATGATGTATTAGCGATTGTATATGTATCACCACATGTTACAATTAATTTAGTATCATTTGAAATTCGTGATAAATCTGTTAATAATTCTTCTCCTGTTGTTGCTAAAAAAATACGACGTACTTTTACACGAAATTTTGATGAACATTGACGAAGAAGTTCTTCGAGTGTCTGTACAATTATTACACTTGATTTTCCGGAAGGTTGAAGAGTAACTGTTACACGAAGTTTATTATTTGATGCCATCAAATATAAATATATATAGATGATCTGTTTTTGTTTTCGTAGAAACAACGGAAATCTTTGGAATTTTATTTATAATCTAAAATCATTTTTAAATAGTTAATATACTCCTCTCTTTATTCTAGGCTTTTTTAATGATGAAAACAAAAGAAAATAGACTTATGTTTAAAAAAAAACAAGAATATAGATTTAATTGTACATGTCATCTAAATGAGAACCAGGCATTGGTAAATGATCAGGATTTGGTTCTTGGAATGGACTAAGTAAAAAATAAACAAATACAAAAAAAAAATAATATTGAGAAAGAAAAAAAAAACAAACTTACTCAGGACCATATGGACCACGTTGAGGACCTGGAGGTTGAAATCGAGCCATTGGTGGTCTAAAAAAACAAAGATTGATTATTGAAAAAATTTACAATTTAAAGATTCTTACCGCATGGCTGGTTGAAACATCGATGGATCCATATTCATACCTAAAGTACATTTTCTTATTTTACAATAACGATGAATCATCGAAACATACCACCACCACGTGTATTTCGTCCGAATGGATCAAGATCTGATGTACCATATCCTCCAGCAGCTGGACCAAAACCACCAGGAATTTGTCCCCTATAATTAACAACTATGCATTAATAGATCAATTTTTTTTTAATTTTATTACTTACCAACCACCGGCATATGGATGTGGTCGTCGTCCTGCAGCTAACGGATCGATTAAAGGATCATCAGGTATTGGACGACGAACACCAGTTTGTTGTTGATTAGATGAAGTACTTGCTCGTGTAGTATTCGATGATGTATTGTCATTGGTAGTATTTGAATCAGAACCTCCATTAGTTAATGATTCAATTTTTTCATGAAATTCTTTTTTTAAATCATTTAAATTTTTATAAGCACTAATAATCGAGAGAAAGAGTATAAGAAAAAAAAAAAGAATATGATAATCTATATCATACGATTGAAATTCTTTATAATTTTCATGTACATGATCATTGACACTAAAATTTATTTCAACATGACGACCTTGTTTATTACGCTAGAATAATAATTAAATCGAAATTTACGTTTTCTTTTTTTTTTTTTTTTTATAATTTACTTACAAATAAATGAGCAAAGAAAACACCTTCAACATCGAATAATTTTAAATTATAACCAATATCATTTTTTGTATATTCCATTGTAATAGAATTATCAGGTCGTTGTTTCCAATCATTTGGTAATAATTCAGTTTTCTTTAAAAAAATATAGAAAGTAAATAGATGTTTTTTTTTTTTTTTTGAAGATAGAAACAAACTTGATTGCCATTTAATCGTTGAAATCCATGTGAAATTAAGCACCAATGAGTAAAGATAATGAGTGCATCATCTTTATTTTCAATTTGTGATTGATAAGTATGAAAAAGTATTTCAAGAAATGGATAAGACATCGTTTTTTTTTTCTGCTAGAAAAAAAAAAAAAAGAAAATACGTCAATGAAACTAAACAGAATTTCAGACTAAAACAAAGAAATACGAAAGAATAATTATAATTTTCTATTGGACTATTATCATTTATCCAATCCGTATTTGAGAGAAAGATGACGTTCAAATACATTTTATCCTAGAAAAGAATATCAAGAAATATTCACAACATTTTTGATATGTCGTTTTTTCCACGATGCACATTGCTATCTTTACGAAAACTATTTTCAATACTTATAAATAAACCGTCTTATTCTTGCTATAGATCGCTTCATTTATCTACTTCGACTACACTCTATACAGCACGTTATGTATGCTGTAAACTTTTTTTTACAACTCTGTATATACTCTAACCTATCAATTATTTAATCACATAAAATTCTTTATTCCTCTTGTTCGTATCAATCGATAAATCTAGACTTGTATTATTATGAATAATAAATATAAATCCCTCCATATTTATAGTCAGCAACGTAAATTGAATCAAGTGAAGTAATTTGTCTTTGTCAGATTATATTGACATTTATACTATAAAAAAATAAATCAAAGAAAAATATGTGTGTATGGGTGTACGGTGTGTCTTCTAGTCGCCCACATCTATTTTTATTTGAGAAATATCTCTGATGATATTGAAAATCTCACACTGAACCACAGCCCCACCTTCACACTCGGAATACGAAAGATGTTGTACAATAGTACTCAGTAAGTATCTTGAATGACTTTTTTAACAAGTTGGCAAATTTTGAAGGATTTGTTTAAGTTTGGATGTTGAAATCCAACAGAATTTCTCTTAAAATTTTCTTATGACTAATATATCGGAAGTAACATGACGTGAAAGAAGCTATGATTCAATTAAGAAGGAGAACAACGTTGTGCAAAGTATAAAAGCACGTGTTATGGTTGTCATTTGCTTTTTTGTTTCGTTTTTTATCGCACAACTACACAGTAAAAATGAATGACAAACGTCAACTATCACTCGACTCTCTACCCGCCGAAACAATTTATCAAATTTTGGATCTTCTTCATTGTGAAACAATTTTTATTTCGTTTGCGAATGTTTGTCGACGATTTCGTAGCATTATTCAAACTTATCATCGGTGTCACATTGATTTTAGTTCGATATCCAAGTCCAATTTTCATATTATTTGTCGTATTGTTCGTCCAGAAAATGTTGTTTCATTAATACTCTCCGATGATGAGAAGACACCAGGTCAAATAGGGTTATTTCTTTCATTTTTAAATATTAATACCTTTAGACAATTGCGTCACTTAACCCTAATGAAGATCGCGGCTGCAGATCTAATGAAGATCAGTCGTCGATTAAAGTTGTGTTCGCTCATCTCATTCACCATCGATACACGAGGAAGACACATTAAGTTGCCTGTAAAAATGATCACATGTGTTATTGAACAACCAAGTCTTTGTAAAATGAATCTAATAACTATGGGACCTGTATTGGACAAGATTTCGTGGCCTATGAACTGTCCATTACAACATCTTAAAATTCAGACATGTACAAAAAAACAATATCTGACCATTATTGATAGATTACCTCATCTAAAAACATTAGACATTGCCTTATATGATGTCCATGCAACCGTCTCAACTTCATCAACAATTCATCGATCATTGGTCACTCTCACACTGACCATTGGTTCCATGCCTATGGTGCGTCTCGAATCGTTATTGTTATTAACACCTTCACTTGTGCATTTGAAGCTCGTTAGTCATAATGGCGATCTTGATTTGATGTCGAATAGTTCCCGCTGGGAAGAATTTATTCAACTTGCATTACCTGAACTTGAAAAATTTGAGTTTTTCTTTAGCGTAGCTCATCGACGGCAAGCTTTTCTGCTCGACATTGAACCATTGATTGAACCGTTCCGACGACCGTTCTGGCTTGAACACAAGCATTGGTATGTTTGTTGTGAACAAAGTGGAACATCACAATTTAGGACTGACTTGTACACAATACCCATCTGTGTAACTCGCCTAAAATATCAAAAACTACTTCGGAAGGTTTGCTCGACTGTCAACAATTTGCCAAATAATTCAACATGTCGCGTTTCTTCACTTGATGTTGATCTGACGGGAAAATTGATGCCATCAGTTCTAAAAGAGGTAGGTTTTCGGTAAACATCAAGAGAGTTCGACCAGTATAATAGAAAACTTCGCATTCAACAATGTAAAAAGGCAATATATATGTTTTGATTATTTAAGAATAGACCAAACACCATCGTGTTGTTTGACAAAGTGATCGATGTTAATCTTACTTTACATGGAGAAAAAATACTTGAATCGATCCAGTTTATTTCGACATTCATTGATTTTTCACGACTTCAACAGATTTCAATCCGTCTGATTACTGTTGTTAAATCTAAGGACAATACGGTGGTTAATTTTGGTATTCTTCTAGAACAAGCAGGTAATCTTCGTTCACTTACCATACGTCGTGGATGGGGATGGTATGAATATGCTGAACATTTGAATGGTATTCTTTCGATGTTGCCTGGACAGCTGAAGCATTTGCGAGTAGATATTCGAACAACTGAACAAATGAAAGAGGTTTTCCAGCAAATCTCACACGTATCTAGTGTGGCATACCGATATACCGGATGGGAACATCTACGATTTGATGATTTTCTTGCATGGTTGACTGAGAAAGGCACAGATTTCACTTCCATTACTATAGGAGATGAGCTTCATATGTGGCTGGGCAAAAATGGAAGAAAACCTAATGAAATTCTATATCCGAACAAGCGCTTGAAAACAAGTCTTTAAACGATACTTCACGTAACTCCACAATGTACTCATTTTATCTATAGAATGTTCAGTTTCTTTTTTCGACAAGTTACAGTTTATGTTGCATATAATAAGAGTATCAGGAGCATTGAATTAGTTAGGACGTGTGTGATAGAGATCAACAGAAGTGGCTTTTCTTAGTTCGACGCCGGTCCCGATTATGGGAGGGGTACAATTCCAAATTTTAATTCTACTCAGGTATTTCATGCTGACAATATGTAAGTCAGTACCAATTTATTAGAATTGATTCAGTTTAGCAACATAAGTATTGATACGAATTTTCAACATTATTCATGGTCTTCGCGAATGGCTTAAGCAATCTAAGAATAAGTGTGGTCTATACGATCATGTTTCTTTCTTGTCTTCTCATTCATCATTTAAGATTCAAATACTAAAATTGGCTATAAGCCTCATCAATTACTCGTCAGGAGTTCTCTCTGATGGTGATCGAGCGACACCAGTGTAATGCACGGAAAACAAAATGTTCTATCCGAAGTCGAAACTGTATTTATTTCATTCACGAAACCAAAGTATATCAAAACCGATCTTTAGGTGAAATTTTTCTCAAGTATCATCGATGACAATGCCCAAAATTTCGTATGCTGCGAGATATGTAAAACAATGTTGGCTTGAAAAGGATCGGACTGTAGTTGTCAGGGAGTATGGATGTAAATCGACTAAGGACTGACTCGCAATCACACCTATCACGCTTATCTCTGGATTTACTCATTCATACG